TGGTTGAAATAAAATAAATAAATAAATAAATACCCACTCTGACCCAAGACCACTGTTACGCGCCTGGTGTTAGCGCCAATGTGTGCCCTTGTGCGGACAGGAGATGTGCCCCCCCCCCCTCTGAAGCTGGAAACCTTGATTTTGCAAAATAAATTCATGCAATTTGCTATTATAGGCCTAATCAATAAATTCCTCATCAACCGATATAACCTTAAACATTCTTGGAATTGACATAACATTACTGATGTCGTACACACCCTTCAGTGTGAAATGTGGCTCTCTTTGCAAGCACATCTAACAGCTAAGGAAAGAAGAGCTTAGATTGGTACCAGATAAAGTAATTTTGTTATCAACATTAATACATTATGCTAATTTTCATCTTTGTAAGCGCATAAAGACAGTGCAAATTGTTTCTGTGACAGTCTTTTGAAGTGTGTAAAGCTCCATTTTATCCTATACATAGTCAAAATATTGGGGGGGATGATACAATGGACCATCCCCCCTTGTCAAATATTGGGGGGGATATATCCCCTCCATCCCCCCCGGGATCTACGCCTATGACCGCTCGCATATTTTATTCGTGTGGAAAAATGTTTAACCTATGTGAGAGGATACAATGTGTATACTATAGTTATGTCTTCATGGATTCATGCAGAATGTGAGGATTTATTACCAAAAGGGAGCCAGGCCACACTGAAGATGCTAGTGTAGTAGCAGCTGTCTTGTCAACGACACAAGCTTTTGCAAAGAAACAGAAGAAGTTCTAGGACACATTCCAAAACAAATCTGCAAATATGTTTCTAAATCGATGGTCAAACGGAGGTAGAGCTGTCATCACTGTGAAGCCAGTAAATAGGAACAGGATACGGGATGGAAGTGCCATGTACTTTTATCTCAATGGCGACAGAGAATCTCTAGATGGCTACAGCCTAAGATTTAGACATGTGGATTGTACATTCTATATCCGTTATGTCTGCGTCTAGACTTATATTATTTTCTTCCTCTAACATTGGGATACAGTACTATCAGTTTTTAAAAAGTCGTTATTTGCTACATTTTCGTTAATTTCAACATTTGATTGGTGTAGTTTTTTGTAGTATTCTCTCTGTAATTTTAATGTTTCTTGTGGGTTAGTTATTTCCACATATGTATTTGTAATTTTGTACACGGTATATTGTTTTATATTATTCATTTGTTCTAAACCTAAGAGATACTTATTACATTTTTGTTTACTTCTTCCTCTTCTGCCCTTCTAATCCTTGATTTAACAGTAAGACAATCTATAATGTTGGTTTAGTTCTTCTAGCTCTTGTTTAGCCATATCTAAATCGGACAAATTGGTTTTACCTGGCTCTTCTAATTTGATTATTTTAGAATTTAGTTCTGTTATTCTATTTCTTCTATATCTACATTGATATTTTGAATATTAAATAGATTTTTTTCCCACATTTAAATTTTATCCACTCCAATTTAACCTGATTATTTGCTATAGGCCTACTTGTATCTTCAATCCACTCATTTACTCATGATTTATTTCGTTTACATAGTTAGCATCTTCTAAATATGAGTTGTTAATTTTTCAGTGACATGGTCCCCTAATATAATCCTTTTGGTGTTTAATTTCAATTAAAACTGTAGAATGATCGGTTCTTATTCCGGAGAAAATATTACTGTTTTTTGTAAACTCTTTTAACTCATTATTAATAAGGAAATACTCCAGCCTACATTGTATCAATGGCTTATGCACTCTCCATGTGTATCTACATTGTATTATGGGTGCATGTCTCTCCAGATATCAGTTAAATCAAGACATCTGTAATTTCTATAATTTTTGAAATTTTATCTACTTCTTTTAATGGACAATTAAAGTGTCCCCCAAGTATTATATTTCGACAATTACTTGATTGCCGTTCATGAATAATATTTTTCAGTTCTTCAACGAAATTTATCTGAATTTTTTCAGTATTTGGAGCATAATATTTACTATTGTAAATTTAAATCATTTTTAAATATTTCCATAACTATAAATCTTCCATTTTCATCTCTATAGCTGTTTGTAACTACAACGTTACTCCCATTTTGGATGACTATGGCTACACCTCTACTATTGTATTTTACATGGGAAAAGAACATTTTCCCACACCATTCACATTTCCTAATATTTTCTAATTCTCTAGTACTATAGGTCTCTTGCAGAATTACTTTTCCCACACCATTCACATCTCCAAATATAAAGTCTCTAAGGTACTATAAGGTCTCTTGAGTATTGCTAAGTCCGCCTTTGTCCGCCTAATATACTGTACGTTTTCAAGGCACTGGTTTCCAAGACGAATGCTTAACATATGAGGTCGAACAACGTGTTGATTTTTTAACATACTTTTAGTTTTGTCCGCATTAATTTTTAATTTATATATATTGTACCATTCCTAAAAATTATTAACTGTGTGTTGGAGGTTAACATTTATTTAGTCGATCGCTTTTTCTCACGCATACAACAAACGTCGTTTACATAATATACGGCAAGAGCCATGAGCTACAGATTCCGATATGTCGTTAATGAAAATAAAGAAGAGAACATTACCTAGACCACTACCTAGTTCCAATTTCAATTTCTCTTTTTTTCCTCCTTGATATTGTATTTCCACATTTGACAACTTGCTTTCTTCCACTAAGATAATTTTTGAACCAGTTTATCTCATTATTATTGAAACCATAGTTGATTAGTTTTTTTGTAGCAAAAGAGTGTGATCTACGGTATCGAAGCATTTTGAAATATGTAAAAAGCATGTTTCAATCATTTCATATTTATTTAGCAATTCTACAACAACCCTATGTAAGCACGTGATTGTCTTTTTTAAACGCATTCGTCAACATTTATTAAATTATGTTCATTTAGATAATCGGTTAGTTGAAGCTGTATTATTTTTTTTCTAATACCTTTGATATGCAACAAACTACCGAAATAGGTCTATAATTACCGTACTTAACGTCTCTTTGTTTCCTTTTCCCTTACATATTGGTGTAGTTCTTGCTATCTTCCAACGGATTTCTCCGTTCATTAACGACGTATTATAAAATTTATAAAGAAAATCTGATATGTAGGTCGATGCCATTTTCAACAGTTTACTATCAAAATCTTCTTATTCGGTTTCAATATTTCTAAAAGAGTATTATGGTATCCACATTCTGGATTTTTCCAGTTTACTTTTCGTTCATCGAATGAGTGTGATATTTCTTTTCCCATATTGGTAAAATATGTCATTATTTTAGCAAAATAGCAGTTTAAATTTAGATTAGTAATATTTTTGATTACATTTTTTTTCCCTTGAATTTCTTGTTTATGTTCGATTTCAGGAAAATAATCAATTTTTGCTTTCCTTAAATTACTAGTGACGTCATTTCTTTTTTTCTATAAGCGTCTAAGTTTGGTTTTGTTTCGTGCTTGTCTGACAGTCTCTTTGCATGATCTCGTTGGTATTTCAACTAAATAATATCTGGTGTTATCCATAATGATAATCTATTTTTTACTCTCATTGATTTATATGGGGAATGTCAATTACATATATGAAGTCATTTTTTCCATTTCTTCCAAATGCTTTCATTACCAGCTATAAGTATGTCATTCATTTCGTTATTTTCTTGTAATTCTTTGTTTAAAAAATTCTATATCATAATCTTTATAATTTATAAATTGTTTTATGCCTTGTTTTATTATCTCTGTATTTAATACATGTGTAGACTAATGAGTGGTCGCTTAGTGCTATGTTCAATATTTAATGATATAACTCTAAGATTAATATCAGTTGACATTACTTAGTATTAAATTGAACGTAATGCATTAATTATAAATGGTAAGTAAGAACATCATTTTTTACTAAAACGTAGAACATACCATTATGTAGTGTCCTTATGTAATTTATTATGTTTACTTCGAAAGAACGTATTTAATTGTTTAATTAATTTACTTATAGGAGCATTATTGGAGTGTGTCTTTAAAAGCCAATCACTTTTCTCTTTTGCTTCCAAAGAATGTAATAAATCACATTGTAGTACGTCTATTACCCTGTTTGATCGCTTAATTATATTGTAGACGATTATAATAATATATAAAAATACACACAGTGTAGAAAGCAAACAAATCATTAAATTTAGCATTGATACTGTTTGTAACTCTATTATTATAGCAGATTTTGAAGCATGTTTTACCCCCCCCGGCGAGTTTGCTTTCCGCCAGTGGATTGCTTTTCAATGTCTTAGCTGCACTTCAAAAATATGTATTTTTCCTGATATCACAATAAGTTGCAATGAATAGGCTAACCCATCTGTCCTGAATTTTTCCTTTTTAATGTGCTCGTTCGACTTCGATTTCGTCTGCCCCGTCCAACTTCGTATGATCTGTTAATATACCCTCAACTAATTCTTTACACGTCATGTTGTTTTCTTGATCCTCCGGGACATTGTGGATTATGATATTATTTCTTCTGGACCTATTTTCAAGATCCTCTATTTTTACTTCTAACATTTGTACCTCTGGCACATTTTGTTTTTTTTTCTTTCCATGGAGTTTAATCTTTGTATGTATTAATCGTCAGCTGTTTCTATTGATCGTTTTAGTGGTTTCAGCCGAGTGTTTTTAGAGCCTCTCATTGGAGCTAATGATGATCATGATCATAATCATGATCATCATTATCATAATAATAATAATAATAATAATAATAATAATAATAATAATAATAATAATTGGCCGCTAATACTACTAATAATACTAAAAATTCTTGGCCCTAACGGCTGCCCATACAAACATGATCTATTAACAAACGGAATCTATTACTAGGCTTATTACTAATCAATCCGCAGGGTATTCCCAGAGCTCCTCATCGGAGCTAAAAAGTGCAGAAGCCATCCATGTCGGTGCTGTGCCCTCCTATAACTTGATCTACATAGATTTAGTAGGGTAAATAGTAGATTTATTGTGTTACGGATGTGATCAGAACAAAAGTTGACAAGGCCATTTTATTCGAAGTTTCCTTTTTTTAAATTTATTTATTGAAGCATTACCAGCATTAATAAAAATAATACAAAAAATGAAAAACCGAAAGCGAAAAGTAAATAAAATGTCCTTGTCAAATGTTGGAGTGAAATTTATTATATTTGTACTTACACAAAGTTCACATGCTAATATTGATGTAATCAATGTAATCAGTGTATAGTAATTTTCAATATTTACTTTAATTGAATAGTATTGATTTCAATTGTGTTCACTATCTAATTAACTTACGAAATTGAAGTTGACATCCTTTAATTATTTACATTGAATATCCAGAGTGTGGTGGTAACAAGTTTGGATTTGACTGTGAACAGGTATGTACTAAAGAGGATAGTCCTAATGCATGTGGAGGTGAACAATACTGCTTACCGGACCCATACGGATGTAGCTGTGTTACAGGATACACAGGTCTGGACTGTCTGACACGTAAGACGAATTATGATATGTTCAGTTTACAATATACAAACCCTATTAAACTAAAATAACTGTGCCTTTGATATTTATATGGAAAATACTCTAATTATTTACAGCTTGTATAGAAGGGACATTTGGAGCAGGATGTGCACAGGTATGTCACTGTAATAGTGGGACATGCGACAGGTACACCGGAAAGTGTACTGGCAGTGATACGACGTGTCAATCACGGTGGACAGGATCAAATTGTCAAGGTAGGCCTAATCTGAAATTGTTACTGTATCGATTTGTTGGGGGTTTTTTTTCGAATTAAACATGATAGTTGAAAATATATGATTTGAAGCAAATTGTGTATGTATGTGTATATGTATGTATGTATGTGTGAATATGTGTGTGGGAGGGGTGTGTGTGTATGTGTGTGCGTCTATGCATGTATGTATTGTGTGTGTATCTATGTATATGTAAGCATGTGTGTATGTGTGTGTATACATATATATATGTATATGTATATTGTATATATATATATATATATGTATATGTGTATATATATGTTTGTGTGTATGTGTATATGTATGTGTGTATAAGTGATGTATTAACCAACTTACTTATATTATTAGTATTAGTATTTATTTTTATCTCTATTACTATTTTTGTAAACCCTTTTTTTATTTATATTTCGTTCTACCGCAGTATTTTCTTTCTTCTCTGTTATAAAAGAGAAGCAATAAAGTTACTTACTAACTTTCTCATAATCACCTCAAAATAGTTTAAAAATGAGTAACTTTCTGTGTTTTCAACTAAATATCCGAATTAAACTCCGCGTCAATAATAATGTTGATTTTAGGATGTGGAAGCAAAAAAAAAAAGTGAGGAGAATCACAATTAGTAGATGTCTCAGTTGATATGGTTTATATTAATACCTCACAATACATAAATATACACGCAATAGTGCATTATTAAACTTTTGTGAGGAGATAATGTTGAAAGAATTGTATAGTACTGTTAATTTACGGTATTTTAGAAAATTCACTGTCCACTATCTTTTTGTAGAATGTAAAACTGGTTATTTTGGAGAAAACTGTGAATTGGAATGCACTAAATGTACATCATGCCATAGATTGGGGTGCTTGGAAGGATCATGTTATACTAATTGGCTAAAACCCTATTGCGAAGTCGGTAAGCAATAACTAATATCGATATATGATTTATTTTGTCTTTAGGCTACTAGATAGGCCTGCAAAAAATTACGGGTACCCAGTACTCGACTATACTAACAAATGGCTATTGTGGAGCTCTCCACTAGTGAAAAGTAATTAGGCCTACTTTAATTTTTTTTTTAAACAGAAACGTAAACTTTTTTTTAAATTCCAATTCATAATTATTACATAATGTTTTGCTGTTTTTAAGTTATATGCCTAAAATTATAAGACTGCAATATAATTAATTTCATTCTAAACCTCTGTTTCAATATTCCAAATAGGCCTATGTTACCTGGCTTTAAAAATCAAATTTAAATAATTAAACAGAAGCATTTAAAATCATAACTAAGTGATATTACAAAAATTATAAATAAACTAGGCCTATAACAAGAAATGAATGGTATTCTTTATTAAGAAAATATTTATTCGTAATATTTAGTACGTAAATATATATATATATATATATATATATATATTTCTCTTACGCTGTGTTAAATAATATATTTATAGGAGTCTTTAATGCTACATTTACACCAGCAAATGACGGTTATGTGACAGATGTTTACTGTACAATATACCATGGTGGTGCGAGAGAGGTTGACGTCATACTTATGGCAACGAAAGATGACGTTAGCGAAAATATTACGACATCACAAAAACAAGATAGCCGAGAAATTGCATCATATAAATTCTCTGTGCTATCTGATATGAATTCAACATACACGTGCGTAATCCTAAACGCGAATGAAATGGCAAAACTTGTTATTCTTCCTGTTATAATATTTCGTAAGTGGTGTTTCAATTTCAAAATTTACCACTAGCTATCAAGTTGTTTAAGGAGTAGTAAAAACAAGGAAAGGAAACAGAGAAGCAGCACTAGGAGCTATCAACATCCAGTCCATGTCGGTTTTTTACATGAACAATTCTGGTTTAAAGAAATAACAAAATCGATACATTGAATGTTTAATCCATTTTTAAATTATCATAGTTAAAACCAACTTGTTACAAATTTGATGATTATCATGATATGACGATTTTGGTTGAATTCAAAACAGGATTGCCTTCATACAATGGAAGTCTGCAGATTGATATGACTACGAGTTCTGCAATAAGTATTAAGTGGAGTGCGTGGGCCAACACTACAGACGAAGGAGATGGGCCTGTTATTGGATACATTATTCATCATAGATTTAGCAATGCCGAAACCGACGACTGGAAACAATCACGAATTCATACTACATTGTCAGCAACTGTTTCTGGGTTGCTGTGGGATACAAATTACACTTTTGCAGTGTCAGCTGTCAGACCTGGTGATGGCGGCGAAGGTCCAATTGGAATGCAGCGAATCAGCACGAAAACTCTTTGCGGAAGTAAGTTTTAATTTAAGTGGAGTAATGTGTTGTTAAATTTAAAAACAATAATAAGAATATTATCTAAGAATTCCATTGTTATTACAGTAATAATTCTAATGACATATAATATATATATATTTATATATATATATATTATATATATATATATATATATATATGAAATCAAAGAAAGGTAAATGCATTGTTTTAATAAAGGACATAATAATACATCGTGTAGCATAGCTCTCAACGAATGTTGTACTATAAATAAATAGAGAAATATTGTAATAATCTGGCAAGGCAAGCGTAATAACCATTAGACCACTGAGGCTTCATAGTTGAGCAGATTCAAATAATCAGACACTCAGTATGTACGGCTGGAAACGAATGGTAGCCTATAATATAAATCAAGTTAGCCGTTAAATCATATACATTGTATTAGGAAATTATACTTCTAGATAATAATAGGCATCTTCTTTTAAAAATAATTACCCAAATCTGAAAGTTTGTACGATACGATTTATTGGGTTCACTTTCAGATCAGTGGCACCCATCACTTTGATATGGTGCACCAAAGAACAATATAAAAAATAAACAAAAGAAAGCAAATGACAGTTCAAAAATAATAAATGGGTAAATAGCATAACAAAAAGTAAACCAAGCAATTTACAGTGCAGTTTTACCCTTATTTGCATATATAATGAAAACTTGGAGACCTCTGCTCACTGAACGGTTCACTGCACACCTTAACACAGTAAATGAGTCAAAACGAGACCCCCTTTTCTCACAAAATCGACTATATAATTTGAATGGTTTCATTTGGCAATCTGGGACGATCGGATTTATAAAACTAGATGTCTTAAGCTTTATAATCATCTATATATTCTTACAATTAATTAATGCAAAATTGAGTGATCTTTTTTCTTTCAAAGTTGACTACCTCTTATGCTTTTGGATAGGAAAAGGGTAAAATTAGAGTGTTTTTGGTATGCTTCCTGCTTCTTTTTACCATAACTCTGCAACGACAGGTCGCTAAACTTTGGGGTGAAAGGTCAATTGTAGCTCATAAATTAATATAAGCTTTCTTGCCATGTAAGTCCCATGCTGGTTGCTTAAATAACCATTGATCCTTTTTTCTTTACAATTTTGTATTCGGAACTGTTTTTACCCTGGGTATGAATGACGTCACACGCTTAAGTCCAATAGCAGCTACGAATTTCGAGGTTAAATTTACCTGAATGAGCTTTTGTCAATAGCAGGGGAAAAGTTTTCATTATGTCTTAACAAATTGTTATATAATTAAGTAAGTAAACTAAATGAAACACACTGAGCTCCACAAAAACCTGTACCGGTACTTAGTAGGTAATTCCAGTAAATTTAAATTACTGAATAATAACTTCTAATCTATTTGGTTGCAATGTCAATTTGTATCTTCAAGAAGCTTGTGAAGAACCTAAGTTGATTGCTGCTATTTGTGGGGGCGTTGGAGCAGCCATTTGTACTATTGTATTGGTTGTGATTATTACAATAATATTTCGGTAGGTGTTAGCTCAACATTTCAATTTATACTTTGACACTGTAAAGTCTTAAAGATCTTAAAAGTAGGAGTACAGAAGAAGAGGGTAGAGATGAATAATCAAATTAAGAAGAAAAGTCCAGTCTACAACCATAGTTAAAGGCGTGCCAGACAACTTCATGCCATGACCAGAACTAGATAGGTAGGAAACTCACAAACTAACGAACATTCGGTTTTGTGAAGAATCTCTGTTAGTCTTTATGCATGTAACGGAGAAGGAAAGAAAATTAGGATTTTATGGTAATACAACTTGTCACCATATCCGAGTAATCAAGTTTGACTAGCTGAAACGGTAACCTGGATTGGATTTTAGCTGCACAGTGATTATACTCGTCTATTTTAATTTCAATATAATAGATATCACTTTCGTAACAAAGGCACAAGTTGGACAATACCCAAACGGTGCATCCAATATAAGCAAAATAGACTTAAACTAGAAGTTAATTAGACTAAAATGTATACATAAAATATAACTTATCAAAATGGCATGTAGTCTTGCACTACCGTATTATTTACAGTGTTGCAGTCAATATGTATATAATATCGCAGGGGGGATGTAGGTATTTAATAGCTACTTACTTACGATTTCTTTCTTGGTAGAGTTTGCGAAATATAAACTTATTATTATTGAAAAGGAAATTTAATGTGTTACGAAGCTGTAAAATAAATACTGTGAACATGCATCAAGCATACACGTGATGAGAGCTAGGTCCTACTGAAAAATACAATCTCAAAAAATGTTATCTAATGAAGGTGATAGCGATGGGGTGGCCATGGCGATGATAATGAATAATAAAAATAATTATAATGGTGATTCTGACGATGTTGATGGCGTTGAATATGATTATTATGAGAATAATGATAATGATTTTCAGAAATGTAACCTTGTAAAGATGTTGGCGATGTGGAGGTGAAGGCGACGAAGATGATTATAATAATTATAGTGAATAACAGCAATAATTAAAATGGTGATGGTGACGATGTTGAATCGGCGATGAATATGATTATGAGAATAATGATATGAATGTATAATTAAGAAAAAAAAGTACACGTCTGATGATGATATTGACTTGTGAACGTTGAAAAGCCATTTGTGGCTGTATCATCACTGATGCTAATTTTGAAGATGGAGCTGGTGAAGGGATGGGAACGAGGATGATGATGACGATATTGATGCTAAATGGAGATGGTCATGCTATGATGATGATGATTAAAAGGATAATAATAATAAAAACAATAGCATACACTGAATAATGCCTTCTTTAATGTCATAGAAAAAGACGTCATGGTAAAGTCAAGAAAAATAAAACTGTAGACGATGAAATACACCTTAAATCTGATGGAGATATAGGTAATAATACTTCACATTCTTTCACTTAACAGCTATTACCCGTTGCAATCGCCATGCATTAATATAACTATCGTATATTAATGTATATCTAATACATAGTTTGCAACTATACTAATTGCCTAATATGATCCGACAATGTTTAGATAGGCTTACTAAAAATAGTGAATATTGCACTATATATGTTTAGGCTATGTACAGGAAAGTCTGCCACCGACGGGCAATTTGGATGATGATTTGATGGACAGACCTTCATCCTCAACTGCTATTGCTATTCCAATTTCACCAGCTTCACCAGATGGTGAAATGCTCACTTACGAAAATGTTTCATTGAAAGCAACAGGATTTTCCCAAAGAATTCAAATTTCTGATTTGGTTCTCCACGTGACAAGGAACATTTCAACAGGAAGGCTGCACAAAGAATTTGACGTTAGTATATATTTTTGTATGAGGAGATATATTTAATGACCTTTGTGTAACTATGCCTACCGTACAGTATTGCTATATTAGTATTTATACAATAATCTTAAATGTGCGAAACTATTAATTAGGCCTAATCTAAGCTAATGTGTAAACTATTTGAAAGGATGTTTATTATATATAGGCCTATATTATCTTATCGTAGGCTAGGTCACCCCATCACTGGCTTTTGCTGTATTTTTTTAATTGTTTATGTTACCGCATTAAAAACAACTGAAATTATTAAAATATTCTTGCAGCTCTTACCTATGGGTCAGACAAAGCCATGGAAGAATGCGGAAAGAGAATGTCATAAAACTAAGAACAGATTCAAGAATATCATTCCATGTAAGCATATTACCGTTAAAATTCATAGATCTCTCTCTCTCTCTCTGCTTATACATTAATCCTTATGATTTTTTCAATAAAATAATCACATAGCCTACCAACATACACAAGGCTGCTATTTTATATTCTGGCCTTCGGCATTAATGCATAATGCAATGGTCAGATATAATTTGGTGATTCAAAACGAACAAAATTGAGATTAATTTCTAAAAATAATTACAAAAAGTGCTTAATTTTACATACTGAGTGTACTGCAATGAATAGTATTCTCGGTTGTAAAATTAAACTTTAATTGCAAAGGTGAATTAATAATGAGACAGTAGCAGTATAAGTACCGGTATATTAATTTTCAATAGTGGTTATAAACAAAATTGTATGATAAATAATACGGTATAGGCCTATTTTAATGATACAACGGATCAACATTTTTTACCTGATAAGCCCTTCAGACGAAATACAACTTTGATAAAATATTATGTCGTAAGAAATGTATTATATGTTCAATGAGGTTTTGTATTTTTCCTTAGATGACCACTCACGCGTCGTGTTGAACAAAGTGGATGGTAACCCTGAAACGGATTATTACAACGCAAGCTATATTAACGTGAGTTGACAATAAAACATTTAATAGATTTATTACGTAGGCCTATACAAAATTCATTCCCTGTGACACATGGGGATCTGCAGTAGTAGAACGCCACCCTGATGCTGAATCTTCGTAAAGACGGTGCTGTAATAAAAGTCGATCTACATTGTACATTGATTACGAACAAGCTAACAATTATTTTACGTTATAATAATATTTACGTTCAGTACTCAGAAAGTATAGAAGTTTAGAAACATAAGTTCGTATTAATAACGTAAGTATCAAAACTACATTAGATATATCATGAACAATGTGCTTTAGGCTTGGCACAGTTGAGCAAAATTGTTTCCCAGCAAACACCATAAACAGTTAATATATTTATTATAGTCAGGCTCCGGAGGAATAACATTTTTTGTTGTATAACTGATTTTTGTAAGACAGAAAAAAGCTGTTTGACTAAAAACTGGAGAACGATGAATGAGATACAGATTTTTGATTGAATGTTTTAAAACTGGGGCGGGGGGATGTAACCTCCCTGCTTTACACCTTTTTCCTCCAGTTTCAAGTTTGATTCCTCCGGAGTCTGACTTTAGTAAAATTATTAATTTTATGGTGTTTGCTGGGAAACAGTTTTGCTCAACCCTACCATGCCTAAAGCACACTGTACATGATATATAGTCTACTATAATGCAGTTACTTAAAAATGATTTCAGTGATTGAATAAATTAAAACATGCTTTTATTTTCCAGGGATATATTAGCCACAAGCACTACATAGCTTGTCAAGGTGAGAAACTATATTGTGTAAAACTAAAGTATTCTTCTGGGGCGAATCCATGGAAAAATGCAATGATTTTAGTACCATTTCTTTTCTTTCGTCCGTCCCCTTTTCCTCCTTTTGTTTCCTTAGTTTCTTTCTTTTGTTTAGGCCGAACCCTTTCTCTCACCCCTCTCTCTTTCTTTTAGAGGGTTGGATTCTAGTCATATGCCCCTTCCCCGGATCCGCTCCTTTTCTCGTCATTAATAGCACATAGGCCCTATATATATTTTACGAATATTGTTAATACATTTTCGACTATTTCTATGTATAATCAGGTCCAAACAAAGATTCTCTGAATGATTTTTGGCGAATGATCTGGCAACTGAAAATTGAAGTTATCGTCGTGCTTACTAACCTATTTGAAGGAACAAAGGTTTTTATATATTCTACTATTCTAGTTAATTAAAATATTAATTATAATTGTCATTGAAGTTATCAATATCTTAATCACATCGTTATAGCTAATATTATCAATATTCTTATCAAAAGGTTATTATCACCTTTTCCATTACTATTGTTGATGTTGGTGTTGATGTTGCTATGTTGTAGCTGTGGCTGTTGCTATTGCTGTTGCTGTGGCCGTTGTTGTCGCTGTGGGTGTTGTTATTGCTGTTGCTCAATATTGTTGTTGCTGTGGTTGTTATTACTGTTACTGTGGCCGTTGTTGCTGTAGCTGTTGCTATAACTTTCACTGTTGTTGATGTTGTTACCGTGGCTGTTGCTATTGCTGTTGCTGTGGCTTCTGTTATTGAAGTTGCTGTGTCTGCTGATATCGTTGTTGGTTGTGGCTGTTGCTATTGATGTTGATGTGGCCGTTATTGCCCTAGCTGTTGATATTGCTGACTGTTGTTGTTGTTGTTACTGTGGCTGATGTTGTGGCAGCTCTTGCTGTTGTTGATATTGTTGCTGTTGTTATCAATATTATTATCACCATCAACATCATTGTTATTATTTAAAATATTATTATTACTACTAATACTATTAATATCATTATTAAGGATATTAATGTTAATAATTACTATTATTAGGAAAAATGTAAGAAGTACTGGCCCAATGATCAAGAAAATCTCGTGTTTAATGGCATCAGTGTGACTCTTCAGAGTCAAGAAACAAGTGAAGATTACACAATTCGAACAATTATTATACGGAATGTAAGGAAATACAGATTGTGTTTTATGTGATAACTCAGTACTATCAGAAAGAGACAGACTAGTATTATTCTTTCAAAATGTTTGGTTTCTCTTGGAAGAAAACTTAAAACCACCAAAAAATATCTAAACTAATAATGATAATAATAATAATAATCAATTATTTAATAGTGCATTTCATAAAAAGCTTCAATGCGCTTTACAACAAAGAACCACAAGCAGTAAATAAATTAAAATTAAACTATTTCCACTTCAAACTCCACGCATTGGATATAGTTGTTAAGGTCTAAAAATACATCGTAAACGTTACTGGAATGACAGCACTGGTATTTACAGGGTATTCCTGGCCCTGTTCTGACTGGTTATTTGGTAAGTTTGATTGACACTACGGAAAGATCCATTAATTTTCTAACCCAATTTAGGCTACTTGAATATTAATGGTACTACATGCATACTTAATCTTGCAGGAACATGATGAACTACGTACCATTAAGCAATTTCATTACACATCTTGGCCTGATATGGGAGCCCCTATAAATGCAGTTGCCTTGCTAAGCCTCATTAGGATTGTGCGAATCGCAAGGGCAAATTCATCAATCCCAGCAGTGGTTCATTGCAGGTAGAACTACTGTCTCTTATACCCTATATATATATATATATATTTATATTTATATATAATTATTTCATAAACATTTTCTGATTTTTCATTTCTGTGTTTTAATTTATATTCATTTGTTAAAATTTTAAAGCTCTAGTTTAATTTTTATTTTTTGTCTTTAATTGTGTGTACTGAGCGACACAATTGAACGTTCTCACTTGATGGACCAACTCACAATGTATATATATAATATATTCTTATAATAATAATTATGATTACTATTATATAATATGATTAAATATAGTTATAGATACATAATTATTATTATTATCGTATAATATTTTTAAATATGTACATAATTATATATATGTCACGTTTATCGATAATATTGTTAATGATAACAATAAGAATAATAATAATTGTAATAATTATAATTGTAATAATAATAATAATAAAAATAATTGTCTTTTAAATGTAAACTAAAATCATCTTACTATACTTTGGTGTATAAACAAGTGCCGGCGTTGGAAGAACAGGGACCTACATTGTTATCGACGCCATGTTGGACATGATAGAGGCGGAAGAGTCTGTTGATGTCATGAAATATCTAAGAGATATTAGAGACGATCGTGTGAACATGGTTCAGACAGTGGTTAGATTCTTTTATTTTCCAACATTTTATGTTTAGAATAAAATATACTCTTGCGTTCTGTATGTTCATTTTACAATTATAAAAATGTAAAACGATTTATCAAAATATTTACATCATTATTTTCAACTAAGCCCTACTCCTATATAAAAATAATATGAAAAAAATCATTTTCATCTGTTTCTAAGAAACGTTAGGGTTTTTACATCTTTTAGGATCAGTATGTTTTTATTTACAACACATTGGTCGAGTTTCACCTCAACAGCGTTGTTCAGTTTCCGCTTTCGGAATTTGCAAGTCGCATAGCACACCTGAAAAGGTTGAATCCTGTTACAAAGAGAACGTTCATCGAAGAAGAATTTCAGGTATTAAATTACATTATAACCGAAATTTCAATTAAACTGTTTTTATTTTTTATAATTTCATATTGAATTGAATAAATTAAATTTAATCTTATTAGGTAAAAATCACTTCATTTCATTTTTGCAGTATTATTTCACATGGACTACTTCCTTGGCCTGTTTCTGTGTATAATAAGGCCTATGTTTTTTCATTAACTGTATTTTATTAATGTATCGTATATGATATTATCTTCAGTATTCGTATATGATCTTATCTTCAGTATGAATGTATTTTTTAATTTTGCCAGGCTGTACGTTTCATTGAATTTATAATATACTAAACATAATTCCTATTCATAATTGATCTCTAAACTAAACCAATAACTGACAAGGATGAACAAAAACGCAAGAGCACCACTGAAAAAACAGTGTTTTGAAAGGATCTCTAATTAAGCTTAATCAGTGTAAAAACATTGAAGAAATTAAAAAGCACAATTAAATTGGTTATTATTTTACAAATTCAAACCCGGATTTGTCTTTGCTTCTATGAGCAGATGTTAACTGCTATTACACCACCACCACAGCCAGAAGCAATGTCAAGCGGTCGACAAGAGCACAACATCAAGAAAAACCGATTTGCAAATGTATTGCCAGGTGAGAAAATTACATAAATTGATATTGGTAGATACCCAACAAACATAAATCGTTGTAGTATAGAAATTGTAGTATCAGAAAATAACGTTAGTGGATTCAATTCAATTTTTCTGCTTTAGTTGACCGATGTCGAGTGGTATTGCTTTCGGAAAGCAACAGTTATATCAATGCTTCATTCTTGGATGTAAGTTTTAATAGCATCGTTTCTAACAATACTTTAAATTTAGTCAAATATTAAATCAAACTATATAAACAAAAGTCTTGGGGAGCCTATTGCCAGCTAAGATGCCAACCTTCTAACCCCAAGGTATGGTAAATTCCTGCTGTGTAAATATTACCAATGTATACATAATGACTTCATATGTTATTTTTTGTTGGCAAATATAAATAATTCAAATTTAATTGATAAATATATCAAAAAATTATAAACATGTAGGCTATTAAGCATTTTAAAAACCTTAATATATATTTTGTTTCTAATACAATTTTGCATATCTGAAGGGTTACATAATGAGCAGTAGGTTCATTGCTACCCAGATGCCACTGACGGAAACTGTGGAAGATTTTTGGAGACTAGTTAGCGACTGGAAAGCAACTACACTTGTAATGCTGAATTCAATGGACAAGTCAGATTCGGTTGGTAGCAAAACAAGAAAAAAGCTGATGCCACGTATTGTTAATAATTCTGTAACATTGAATTGGTTATGTCGATTGTCAGAAACCATTCAAATAACACTGAAGGCAAAGTACTGTATAGTTCCTCAATCATAACAATACTAAAATATTTTATATATCTTAAGTTCCATTTGTTTAAACAGACATGCGCACAATACTGGCAGGATGATGAGGGCAGTACTCAACATGTTGGTAATTTGAAAATACAATTCAAGTCGCAGGAAAGTAGAGGCGACCACATAATTATCAGGAAGTTCTCCTTAACCGGTGAAGTCGATGAAGTGAGATATTTTTTAACACGACTCTATATTTTTATTTTAACAAAGAATTCACCGCATTGTGGAGTTAATTGTTATATCTGCTTAAGAAACATTTTTTTTATATTGACTTGTTAACATATAGAGATAAAATATAAACCGTCTTGTGGTAATGCTTTAAATTGTATCAATATAAAGGCTGTTTCGCTATATGAAAAATGTATATAGAGTAAATTTAATGCAACTGTTAATTAAATATATACTTTTAACTTAATTGTTATACATTATACAAAGTGAAACTCTCAAATATTTTTATTTTCTAGCAATAGGCGTACAGAGCCTATGTTTAATGCAAAATAATAATTTTGAATTTCTATTAGAGCAAAGCAATTATATACCACTGCCAAATAGGAAATAGAATCAGCAATTATACTTTGTTATATGTATAGGGATGGTTTCTACTGGAAAGAAAAAATCGATGATAAAAAAAAATCGCTTTTTTCTCGCAGTAGAAGCGGGACCAGTTCGGAAAAAGCGATTAAAAAATCGATTAAAAACACGCAATGGATAGCGTGTTTGAACGTCAAATAACAATTTTGGCTGTGTACTTTAATTAGCAGCACAAAAAGTGATTATCATGTGAAATGTGTCCTCCGGGTTGAACCACGATCGTATCATGCACGAACTTTGAAAAGTCCTCTTGTTCATGTCCTAGTCCTATAAGCTAAATCGTTATGGTGGAGTGACGAAATCACTCATTTTGTAATTATGTTGTGGGGAGGATATATTGGGCCAAGGCCTTTCCGCTCTTCTTCTGGGCCTACCGTTTTCTTCTTTCGTTGTGCCGACGAGCACAGCCGAAAACATTTGCCTTCTCGCCGCACACCGTGTCCTCCTCTTCGTCATCATGACCGAAATTCATGTGAAACAAGAAAATATACTTGAAGTAGGCCTATATTGTCTTGTTTGTGAGAAAGAAACTATACAGTTTGGAAAACGTGTTGTATAAACAAAATGGTAACGTAATTTCTGCCGCGAAAACCGATTTTCGTAAAAGCATAAATGCAGTTGCAACGCGGGCGGCAGGCTGTCTGGCACTCATTAAAAAAGCGGTTAAAAATCGATTATTTTGTGTTTTTCAGTAGAAACACGCTTAAAGTAATGTGTGTTTCTCTGAAACTAACTATTTAGAATGCATTATATTGCTATTGAGAGAATTAGTATCATTATAAAAATTATGTGTAAAATTGCAAACTATTATAACTAAAATTTTTTTTATTTTGGATTTACCTATTATAATTGTGTAAGCCTATAATATTATTGTTAAGATAATTTATATAGAATTATGATGATAACGATTGTGAAATTAATTTTTTTTTTGCAGAAACGTGAACCATTGGCTGTAACGCAATATCAGGTGACAGACTGGCCAGTAGGCCAAGATAGCCCGAACAGGTTGGAAACTGTCTTGGAGATTTATGAAATAGTTGAATCAAACGTTGATGTACATAAGGGGCACCCAGTTATTGTGCATTGCATGTGAGTAAAATACGTAGTTCGCATAGTAAGACCCTCAACTTTTGACAATTAAATGACATTAAAATATATTTTTTTTTTCATTTTTCGTATTAGATGCAGATACATTATTTGATTCTTATACCAATTCAATTTTATTGACACTAAATATTTTAATTGTTTTCTAGATTTTATTAATGACTTTATATTTAAATCCTTGTAAAGCAGGCCTACAAATTTATTTTAAATGTATAATCTTGCTTACACAATGATAGAGCGCTTAGATCGATCCTGCAAGACAACAAAACTGTTCTTGTGGCTAAAAACAACGCTACTTCCTAAGCTTATTAAGTGTAGTGTAACTATGATTTGCTAAGGATTCAATGAAAAACACAAAAATGTAGTTTTCCTGTATGTATAACTTGCAATGTTCAATTCCACTAGGAATGGAATAGGTCGAACTGGGGTTTTTTGCGCAATCTCTGAGACACTGGACAGGATGAAACGTGATGACATCATTGATGTCTTTCAGCCAGTGAAACGACTTCGGCAGAATAGGCCAGGATTGGTGGAAAATATTGTAAGCATAAGGTTTATTATAAATTAATAACTGAATATGTCAACATTAATCCCAATTAACTTTAATATTACCATTATACTTCATAACAATTATTATAATCAACACCTTCAACATAATTATCTTCACCCTGAAAATCATCATGCTCATCATGTTTAATATTGTAACGTTGATATTGTCCGTTGACGAATGCAACGCGACATCATAGATTATTTTTTTCGGAGTCACAGTGGTGCAGCATTTTACAGGACAATATCCTCTTACTGACGGCACTAAAATATCTTTTCTCATCACATTGATACCGAATGTTATAAGACTAAATTATATTTAGGTTGTGTTACTGATGGATAATGTTTTGTATTGCAGGAACAGTACACACTTTGCTACGACCTCGTCGGAGCCTACCTACAACGCTTTGCAACTTATTCAAACTAGATGAGGAATTAGCCTACTCTTAAAACGAACTCATTTGGACTTACATAATCAAACGAGACCAGCACTTTACTTATTGGAGGGCAACCAACTAGAATAATGGTTGACGCCATTTGTATACCTACTTTTATTAATAAAATAGTATATAATCTCCAAGTTATAAACTTTACTATAGGGCCTATATTCAGATTCGGAATTTCTACAATCAATAAATAATGGCTATAGATAAACAAATACGAATAATACTATGTGCCTAGATACGGTTTCACCATTATTATTTTATTAAAAGATGTTGAGCACATTGATTTACAATTTTTAAGAAAAGTAATAGAAACTATAACCGGTAATTATAATTATATTAGCTCTTACCGATTATCGTAGCTTGTATTTAATAATATCTTAATGTAAAAGAATTTTGGACATTTTGTTTACTAGAGCAAAGGTATTTCCACACTTATCTGCTGTTTTGTTTAGTGCGGTCCAGAGGGTGACGAAAGGGGGTTCCCTGGTAAAAACAGATACAAATGGCAGCACAAACAAACGAAGAGTATAGTAATTAATCAGACCGCAACTCAGAAATGTTTAATTTCAAATGGAAGAATACAATTACAGTATTTTTTCTCTTTAGGTAATTGTGTCCTGTATTCGATATATCTATTGTACCCTTCATAATTATGTTCAACTAAACCAACATTTTAAGTCCTCATAAAATATATAAATTGCTCTTTTTCATTAAACTTTTCTGTCCTACCTTGAATAGCCATGCATTTAAAATCACTTGTGGCACAAGTACAGGGAGATTGTAATTTTTTCTAATCGACAGTCAATTATCAATTTCTTTCAAGTAGTGACAATGTAATAACTATATTATTTAACAATTAGAAGAAAAAATAGAAAATAAACAAATAAACAAAAGCAGTATGGGCTACAAGTTATCACCTTACTATTTTTGTAAACATATTATTATTTTAGGCATAAAGGCGAAAGCCAAGAATATAACAGTAAACTCTGCACATCCAATTTTATACAATTCTATTCTTTTATGAAATACTTAATAGTTGTATAACTATTTTTAATTATTTTAATTTAGTTATTATTATACTACTAATAAACCTGGTACAAAATATACTAGACCTCGCCTGTGTTGATCATTTGTATTTTTACAAATATTTGCAAGTAGTTAAAAAGTATATGTAAGCAAGGTAACTATTGTTTCACTTTTTCAAATGTAGAACATTTATTTTGCTTCATTATAATGTTACAATTGCGTAAGACTTACAAAATGAATTATTAAAAAATGATATAGTGATGGCCAATGACATTTTGTCTTTTTATCAATATCAGATTTGTTAATATTATGTTTCACACTATCATACACTGTAATGGGCCTACTTATTATATATTTTGTATTTCTTATCTTATATAACTTATTTTTATTTATTTATTTATTCACTTTATTTAGGTATTTTAATTTCAGTTTTTCTGTTTGCAGTGTTGGATTCAAGGGGGGGGGGGGGAGCCGGCCCGGGCTTCCCCAATTTTTTTTTCAAAATTAAACAAGAAATATTTCCTATAAATAATGCCGCAACATCTTTACCTTATTCAATTTGTTTATACAGGTCATTTCAAATTTATCCTATGTGTGAATTTTGCTACGTTATTTAATTTCAATAAACAAATCTGTAACTGTATTTTTCTTATAGATCAATAAATATTGTAGGGTTTAAATTATTGAACGTATGACATAACTTTTTTTTTTTTTTTTTTTTTTTTTTTTTTGTGTAATGTAGGGTGCTGTTTTTTTTTTTTTTTACTTTGTGTAATGTAGGGTGCTGTGAATTACCTGAGTAGAGATCTGGGAATAATTCAAACAATTTTACCGGTATTTATTTTTAAGTAGCATGCGTAGTCCGGATAGAGTTATGGTGTAGACTAAAATGTAACTGCGTGAAACTCTCACCATATGATCACAAACATTCACAAATACACACTTATACATATAATATATTTATAATGTATTAAGTTATTTTCCAATACTGTGTATACATTGTTAATATTCTTAACATATTGATAATAGCAAATATAATCAGGCTTATGTACTGGTACTATTCTCCTGAACAATAAGCAGGTTTGAGAAACATTGATGAAAATCAATTAAGACTGATGCGAGATCTTTTTCATATCTTTATTTAAGACTGATGTGAGATGTTTTCCATACATTTATGCTTCATAATAAATGGAATGTTATTATTATCTTTAAACTACTAAATTAATTAAAAATTTTACAAACATACATTATCCATGATTTTGTGGTGATGATCAAGTTTTTATTTTATTTGCTTATTCATTTAATTTAAGTTCAGTCATTTAGTTTTTTTTTAATAATGTCTATAAATTAAAATAATAACAATAATAATAATAAAATAAACCATAATAATCATAATAACAATACAGCAATAATAAAAATGAACCCAAGTTATTGCAATAATAATAAAATGAACCCACATTATTGTGGAATTACAAAATTGAAACCCAATGAAAGTGATTTTTTTTTACCAAGATGGCCTGTAACGAAATAATTTATTTAATAAATTCAAACGGGTATTTTAGTGTAATTTGTTTTTTATTGCCATAATTTAATTCTAAATGGTATAGGCCTAGCCTATAATGAGATATTTTAATATTATTTTAGTTTCATTTTCTATATACCATGACATTTAAACTACCGTGATTCTTCAATTTGGATTTTCATCGTATTATTTCAGCATTAATTTTGATTAATCTTATTACAGTATTTATTTATATTTTTAACATTATTGTTATTCACTGTTGTTGACTGACCAGGGTGTGTGTGGAAAGTTAATTAAATTGGTAGCCTAGAGGCTTCATCCTCAGCTATTGTCCGATAAATGTATACACATGCTCACTGGCTGGTTTGTATTTCCAAGCGCATGCTCACTGTGCTTTTACAGATAATTCATGGATGTTCTTTGGTAACTGTGCATGCACATGGCTTAGTTCTGAATTCCCATTTCTTAGTAGTCGAAAGCTACCGCTACCTATAGTTCCTTAATGAAGACTGTTTCCTCTTGATCGTAGAAGCCTAAAGGTGTTCTACTCAAATGTTGAGTCTAAGAGTGCCAAATCATACATTTTCTTCCTCAGCCCCAACCATGGTGGGGCAAAGATAGTATAGACCCTCTATCTGTGAAAATCCCTTTTGGGGCATATTTCAAATTTCTGTCTGGATCCGCCAGTTTGTTATTATTACAGACGCACGAGCGAGCAATCGAACAACTAACCAGCCACCCAACGATTAAATGAACATAAGCTTTTTCTACACTATCAAATTATATGTGACAAAAAAATGTGATGTGCCCATATATGGGTATGATGACGTCATATCACACACCAAATCGTATTAAAAAAGTAACGTGTTCAACTCTTATGTTATATCACATTTTATGTGACGCTTTTTTGATGAAATTTGATAGTGTAGAAAAAGCTTAATAATGAGCGTAAGAACAAACAAATTTAATCAACAAACGAATAAACAGACGAATAAATTAGGGAATGAACAAATGATAAATGACGAACGATTGAAAGAAAGAACAAAAAAATTAAAAAATAAATAAACAGGAAAGAAAGAAAAAGAATTTGATAGGATTTGATAAATGAATGAATGTAATAATGAATAGATACAGTAGAACCCCTATTAAGGGGACACCTTCGGGACCAAAAAGAGTGTCCCCTTAATAGGGGTGTCCCCTGAATAGGGGTACCCCTATTCAGGGAACACTAACCAAAAACGTGAAATTGTCCCCTTAATAGGGGGTTTTTGGCATGTTTTCATATAACGATGGCATATAATTCTTTATAATTTTATTTTTATTGACATAATTAGTTACAGTAGAATTAGAACTAATTTATAGCAATAATTTTCAATGCATATACAATTCCTTTATAATATGAAATTAGCAGAAATGTAACTAAAACAATAGATTTATGTTCAAAATATTGCTTCATGATGAAATGTTAATAAATGAATTAGGATCCTATGAAAGTGCTGGAAAAACGAAGAAAAATAAATCCCCATGGTTAAGGGTCGAAATTGACAAGATTGGTTTATACGAACTAACACATACTGTTACTGTTACGTAGCCGTCTTCCTCAAAAGACACATGGCTGCCACTGACGGGATCCGTTGACAGAATCACTGCTTTTGGCGTTCACTTGAAATCAATAATGTCCCATTATCCTTCACAGATGCAATCTGTTATATTTTTATATTTTTTTATATTTTTATTTATTTATTTATTCATTATTCATCTTTTTTGTTTTTGTTTTATTGATTAAATAACTAACTTCCCGAAACCCAGTATGCAAATATTACTCCAATATATTTCAAAATTCAATTTTAATTTTCAATTAATTTGAATTTCAATTTATTCAAAAAACCTCCAGAACAGAGAAGTAAAGTAGTAGGCCTATAAGAACTTTTAAAACAATAGATCAATTTCATTAAAACGGACAATACAATATATTAATACATATACCAGAACAATTAAAATAAAAGCCACAACAAAATTGGATAAATTCTCAAAATACAAAATTCAATCAAATCAATAAGAGGTGAGAACAGAACACCATTTTAACAGATACAAGCAATTAAACAACAACCCATGAAAATACTTAAACACACCTAATACTACCAAACAAAGATGGATTATTTTACTTTATTCAAAATTCTTTTTGTATTTCAATTTCAGTTAAAATATTATTATTATTATTTTTATTATTATTATTATTATTATTATTATTATTATTATTATTATTATTATTATTATTAATATTATTATTAATATTATTATTACTACGTAGTCTAACAAAAGCTTGCCCTTGACAAACAGCAGTAGAAAGGTGATGGTGGTTAGAAAATGTACGTTCCTTAATAAGTTGCTCAAGATGTATCGAAATGTGTCACTATATAAATAAAATGAATTTTTCTTATTTTGAGACTGTTGTATTTGTTGTGATACAATAGAAAAAAATTAAATGTCATCTTAATAGGGGTTCATTTGACCATTTGGCACACTCAGAAAGTGTCCCCGTCCCCGTAGTCTAACAAAAGCTCGCCCTTGACAAACAGCAGTAGAAAGGTGATGGTGGTTAGAAAATGTACGTTCCTTAATAAGTTGCTCAAGATGTATCGAAATGTGTCACTATATAAATAAAAGTGAATTTTTCTTATTTTGAGACTGTTGTATTTGTTGTGATACAATAGAAAAAAATTAAATGTCCTCTTAATAGGGATTCATTTGACCATTTGGCACACTCAGAAAGTGTCCCCTTAATAGGGGTGTCCCCTTAATAGGTGTTGGCCACAATGTTAAAAGATATATCGCCCCTCGTTTCACGGAAAAGTGTCCCCTTAATAGGGGTGTCCCCTGAATAGGGGTGTCCCAAAGGAGGGTTTGTACTGTAATTCAATGAAGTAACCAACGGACAGACATCCTTAATAGGTAGTTTTCGCCGCACAACCTTAATCTTAACTTTAACATTAGTACCCAACATGCAGCGCGTAAACAAATCGAAATACGCATGCGCAAACCCGTAACTAACGTACGTCAAGCAAGTAAAATCCTGAAATTAACGTACTCCGCAACGCAAGATGAATAAAGTATAAGAGACAGTATATATATATATATATATATATATATATGGTTTCTATGGAACATATATTTTGTGTTATATCAAGTAGCTTTTACGTAGGCTTATTTGTTTATTTGAATTTCTCACAAGCTAAGAAATGTGACACTGCGGGTGTGAAAAATTCACTCAAATAAAATAATAATGAAAATGATAAAACATCTCTAAAGCATTTAAAGGGGCTTTCGTTGCAAGTTCGAATCCGATTGTGCAGTTGATTTCACCATTTATTTGCTTTTCAGAGCACTGTAAGATTTCAAGATGATTACTATCATACTAATCATGCTTCAAGTAGCTGTATCATGCTTAGGTGAGCTTGCGATTATTCTTCAACACTGTTAAACTATTATAACATGAGCTATACATTTAAGCGCACGGGGCTTGGTACATACTGTGATTAGGGACTGCCAGGCAGTAAACGCCATACATAAACGATAGTGTATTATATATGATACACCAATGTTTTGAATCCTATTCTGACAAGTCTTCTTATTATTTGTAAGCTTACTAAGGGACCAGGATAATCACGAATAGGCCTATTAGCAGTTAGGTTTAGGGTAGGAAGCTGCTGCATCCACACCCGATCCAAATCGAAATTCGTAGAACGTTTTCGATACTTTACCACGGATTCGATTTTCTTTTTTCGTTTCGTTTCGCCATACGAACCGAATTCGGATTCGGTGTAAATTTACCTTATCCCAAAATTCAAAAATGTAGTTTAGCCACAGTCTATATTATCCACATTAAAAAAAAAAAAAGTCTGTATGTTCATAGAGTGAACACATAGTAACAGTGACTGTGTGGGCACAGTGTGACACGTTGTGTCCACAGTGTGGAGATCATTCCAAACATTTATTTTCCAAGCAACAATGTTTGTTTAACAGCGTTAAGCGGCATAAAATGTTGGGCGCTGTACAAAATTAATGTTATTAGTTTGTGAACAATAAAGTATGAATAATAAGTATATAAGTAAACGAATGTCACAGCAGTTCTTGTATTGGGGATACGATAGTGATTTAAATCTTCACGGTTTCTGCGATGCAAGTGCAAGGGTCCCTGAATCTGTGATGTTATATTAATTCACAACAAAGGGAAAATGCTCGCACTTTTTCAAAACAGGTTTTCACCTTATTTTCCTTTAAAAATATGTTTTAAACAGACCTAAAAAAAAAAAAAAAAAAAAAAAGAAGAAAATAATATTATTTCCAGAAAATACGAATATTATATGAACGTTTTGTTTGCTTTTAAGATAAGCACCGTCTTTTTTACTCTAATTATTAACTCTGTTTGTTTTCAGGAAATGAAGCACATATTACAGTTTTAAACATACAGCCTAACAGCAACTATCAGAACAAATATCAGTGCTATACTCCTTCTATTTTTACTAATTATAGTCTGAGTTACGGTAGATCTTTCAAAATCCAAAATACAGATAATTTAAATGAATATGACTGGACTGTAAAGGCAAATAAACATAAATATGGAACAACAAAGGCGTGGAACATGGGAGTTTACTACTGCAAGATAGTAATGGGTGGAGTCACTAAAACAGTCCAAACTACGAAGATAAAGAGCGATGGTAGGAACCCATCTATTATTTTGTCATCATTATTTTAAGGTTTCGCTATAGATCTTATGCAAAAAAAAGGGATGTAAAAATATGTAATGTATTATAATAAATATTAGGTTAGACAAATTTATCAAAATGAAATTAATTTCAATTTCTATTTGCTCAGTACAATATATCTGCTTTTTAACTGAATAAAGACGCACGAAGATAATGTTTTTTTTTTCAAGACACTAAGTAAAAATGGTTGATTATCAACATTACATTGATACAATTATTGTAATTTGTACTGTATCGTCATTATCGATATCGTCTTCCTCCTCGTCAGTGTCGTCGTCCTCGTCATCATCCTGAAGTCAACATCAACGCTATCTTTCACATAGACCTATCACCCAGGTTCCTAATTTATTTGAAGGGTCAAATTATTGTTAGAGTTGATCTAACGAGCCAAGGATAATCTCCGAACAGTTTGTTTTAAATACCTGTGAAACTCTCGAGCAGTGACCGAAGCCCCTTTGCTGACGCAAAGTGCTTTCTTTTGGCCATTTCAAATTCTATTTTTAATCTTAGCCTAAAACACTTTACCTGTAAGATCAATTTCTGATTAGGACCAGTTATAGTGTCCTGCAATTTACACTTTCAAATACCCGGAGTTAATTTTTAGTATACGTTGTTATTGCACTTGGCAGATTATTACTTTTAGTTTGTCTAAATATATTTCATTATTTTGTTTTTCACGGGCCAGACTTGATTGCTCTGTGCGGCCAAATTTGGCCCATGGGCCGCCTATTAAGAACCAGGGTATTATTAGAAGTATCATTATCATTATCATTATCATTTATCCTTATTATTATCATTATTAGTAAGGCCTTAAAATAATATTATTACAGTAAAAATATAATACTTTTGATAATATTACTCAATAATGTCGTAATCTAATAGTTTGTCTATGAAACTTTATTCACTTCCTCAAATAGCCACAATAACTCCATCACAGACCTCGAGCAGTATAACGGTAAATGTCGGAGATGAAGTCACTATCTCCTTTGATACCATTAAAGATGGCAAAGATCTTATATGGAGGAAGGACACTGTTGTAATAAATTCTGTTACGGAGAAGACCTTAACGTTTTCTTCAGTGAACATCAGTGACGCTGGAATGTACGAGGTGTATGAACGTCTTAATCGAGAAAATCGTAACCACGCGTTTACAAAGTTGATTGTACGGGGTAAGTAACAATGTGCTTGTGGGGTAAATGAAATATAATATTTCCGTTAAATTATGTTATATTGCTGTATATCTAAGTCAAATCGTATATTTTTTAACACTCACTTAATACATGTAAGTTTTCTATACCATTTAAATCTGAGTTATTACTTTATTCAAAATAGGGCGCGGAAGAATATCTTGGAATAGTCCCATTGCTATTTTCTCAGTCTTGAGCAAAGTTCTTGAAAGAAAGTATATAATGAACTACTAATGTAGTTTATTAATTGGAAATTTAATTTGTTCTATAAGCATCAATATGGTTTTCTAGAAACTTACAGAACATAAGATGTCACTTAATTTAATTTAATTAATACATTTCAATATGATGTTGATCGTGAAACGTCCTCAATTTGTATACAGTAAGCCCATTGATTTTCTAAAAGCATCTGATGCGATTGACCATGATGTAGCAATAATCTATTTATTTAAAAATGGTGAAAACTCAATCGACAGTAAAATAGTAAAAAAATATATTATAAAGCAAAGCTGTCAGGATTCGAACCTGCAATCTTCGGCTTTCAATGCGAGCATCATGGCTTTAGACCAACGATACATAGGTATACGCGCAGATTCAACCCACAAGGTACACATTAGGTTATACAGCTGATAAACGGAACTTTTAGTTGAGACGATTAGGCCTATAGCATCATGTAATTTATCGGTGTATTAGTAGATTAATAGGATGGCAGCCGTTTTAAATTTCAAGATAACCGCCACAGAAATGGTCGAAAATCAAATTATTTGTTTTAATAATTTCATTTCTCCTTGATCGACAAAAATTGTGGAAAACGAATATTAGCATGAAATTCAATTTCTCCTCTATAAAAAAAAAATTTTGTGTCTAAATTTTGTGTCGAATTATAATCATGTTATTGGGCTGTTTGAGTTTAATAAACATGGTTTCAAAAAGCTAGGATGACGGCCATTTTGAAATTCAAAATGGGCTCCACAGTATCGGAAGTCGAATATTTTGTTATGTAATTCCACTTCCTCGATCAAAAATGGTAGTTTTCTGTCTAATAATACGGTATGTTATTGGGATCTCCGAGTCCTGTCAACATGGTTTCCAATAGTTAGGATGGCAGCCATTTTGAAATTCAAGTGCTTGTAGCAAGTTATTATTTATATCATCAATATAAAATTAAAAAGCAGAGGGGACATGACACCATCTTGAATAACTCCATTTGTTATAGAAAAATACTTTGAGTATGTGTTTCCCCGACGGATTATAAAGCTGATTATCATACTAAGCCATCATAAATTTTAACAATAGTAAGGTGCAAGCCTTTTTATAAGCGTTTTAAATAAACACCAAGTGATTCACTCTATCAAATGCCTTAGAGGCGTCTATAAAACAACAGTAAATGGCTACCATTTTTTTTATAGTCATATATTACCTTAAATGACATTTCTTAAAAAGAAAATTGATTATCACCTGTATTAAGAACATCATATGAAGTTTTAAAAGAAGATTAAAAGATTTTTGAAAAAATACAGGCAAGCGCAGTTGGTCTGTAAATATCTTTCCTACATGTGTAACCAGATTTAAATTTGACAATATTGGTACGAGGATAACACGACACAATTTACATATGCATAGGAACATAAGTATTTTGGAACATGTATTTAAAATGTATACTTAATAAAATGACAAAATGCTCACTTTTTATCATATAAAAATGTGCTGCCTTACGCAAAGTAAGCTTTATCAAGCTCTGCAACTTTAGGTGAAGTAATACTGAAATTATCATAGGAATTCATGTAACAAAGCTTGTTAATAACACATTGTTTATCAGCATCAATAATAATAATAATTGTCGACTTATATAGCGCATATTGTAGAGACCTCTATGCGCTTACATTATTACCCCCAGATCACTGGATCAAGCACATATGGAACACACACTCGAGCCCCATGGGGGAATTCCATAATGTTGCAGCTGTATTCAGCGCAGGCTGTGTTTGAACCTACCAGGTACCCACCTGTACTCCTGGGTGGAGAGAGACAACCGTAGATAAAGTGCCTTGCCCAAGGACACAACGACTTGCACAGCGAAAGTTTCGAACCCCCGAGTCCAAGCCACAACCGATGCGCCAACCACTTCTCCGTCTATCAACACAATTAAAAATACTTCAAAATTACCAGCCCAAACATTATTATATTGTCTTCACCCTTACCTGTATCAATACAATTTGGAAGTGGAGCTTTGCTTCCTAGTATTTTTCCAAAAATAACTAATAATAAAGTTGTTTACAGATAGGGCCTGAACATTATCATCAGTTTTAATTTGTTCTTCATTTGTTTTACACCTTTTTAGAGCCCATTTAAATCTACCCCTACTGATTTTCAAACAATTGAAAAGATTACCGTGTCTGAGCTTGCACACAATGGGAAGGCTTCTCTTGCTATGTGATGTAATTCTGCGACATGGTCACTCAATATTTTAATTATGTATATAAATGGTCGATAAATGTTGAATAAATTGAATTGAATTGAAATGATAGCTAGTTCTAGAGTGATTAAAACAAGAATGTTAAGCATCATTTAAACATTGCACAATGTCGTCATACAATTTGCCAATATAAGATAACAAGAGAGAAATTAATGTTGACAGAAAGCTTCGTTGGCTTTTTACTCTCTGGTAATAAGTTAGGTGTTCGTGTTTATAAAAGTATGTCAACAGTGTTTGAAGCTAATATTGGATCATTTCAAGATGACGAGTTGTCAGGAAAACTTTTCAAGCTAACACTTGCTGGTGCAATTAATCATATTCGGACTGTAGGCCTACTTGTTCAAATATTTAAGAAAGGATGGAAGAAATAAATGTTGATATTGATTGATTGATGGATTGATTGTAACATCACAACCTAGCCTACCTATTTTTCTAATACTAGAATGGCCATGGAGTCTTCATATACTGATGATATCAATGTTATTGTTCTTGACATGGAACTGTTAAAAATATGTTAGATATTATACAAAATATTTCAATGAATGGAACTGAATCAAGCAAAAACTGATTTTACCCTCAGATAAAACTCTTCTTTTATTGATAGCTCGGTATTGAAAACAGAGTCATTCTTCCAAATATTGCATATGCAAAATGTACAAAAATATGGTCGGATTGTAATATTATATTAGAACGTAAACTTATTATTTATGAAGTACATGGACTCGATAAACAAGCAAGATCACTTATTATTATTTATCTATTTGTTTATATTGTGGAGCTACACAGCAAAACTAAATTTTACTATTGTTTAGTATGATTTCAAAACTGCGACATAATAAGCTGATCTAGCTTAACAATAACTCCACTATGATGTCAGCGTTTCAGTCAGTTGTATGAAATAAAGTGCCAAGGAGTTAGATCTGCGCGTACTTCCTAAATGTCTCCGTGATCTAAAGGTTTTTATGCTTGTCTTGATAGCGAGAGGTTGCAGGTTCGAATTCAACCAAACACAATTTTTCATACTACTGAAAACGAAACTTTTCGTATAATGGCTACGTTATCTTGTATATATATA